CCCCCGCCCGCCTGCTCTCCCCAAGCCCCGCCCCCGCGGAACCCGCCCGCTGGAGCTCGGGGTTGGCCAGGCCTGAGTGGGCCCGAGGCGGACGTGAGCAGGATCGGACCAAGATGGCGGTTCAGGTGGTGCAGGCGGTGCAGGCGGTTCATCTGGAGTCGGATGCTTTCCTGGTTTGTCTCAACCACGCTCTGAGCACAGAGAAGGAGGAGGTGATGGGGCTGTGTATAGGGGAGGTGAGTAGGTCAGTCACTTTAGCCTGGCTGCAACCCGGCTGAGCAATCCCAGCGTGTCCTCGGGGTGGGTGCTAGCAGCGCCCAGGGCTGCGGAGGCCACGGGCTCTTAGATCCTTGAACAGATCCTTTGGATGGTCCTGTCGCGGGGGGTCCCACGTATTCTCTGGTTGCTTCACGCTTCTTTAGCTTCTCGCAATCTCCCAGCGTTCCGCATAACCTTAGAGGCGGGGGAATAGCTTGCTTTTTCTCTTGTAGGCTCTGGCCTTTTCTTTAGATCTGGAGTTATCACCCAATTGACCAAAACTGCAAGTCAGGCCAGAAAGACATTATAACATAACAGGACATCACTGTATTAGGAAGCAGCTGACCACGATTAGGGCCCCTTGCCTCGCCTCCAGTTTTCCTTCTGGGACGCATTTTAAATGTATCAAAGAACCTAAGAGAGGAGAGGGTTTCAAAGACGCACAGCACAAGTTTCCGCTGCGTCGAGTGGTGCAGAGGGGCAAAAGAAAATGAGGAAATAGAGCTTAGTTGTTTACAATCCGAAGTAACAATTCTTCAGTTTTTCATGCCTGTGTACAGGAACAGATGACCTAATTTTTGTATAATCTGCATCCATGTACATCAAATAAGCGTTATGTGATCAATAATGTTTTCTCCTTTTTCCCACTCTAGTTGAATGATGACACAAGGTAAGACTATATTTGTTTACTCATATCTTTGGGTCTCTCTGTCATTATTAACTCAGAATTATGACAAGTTTGGCAATACTGTGTATGGGTTGTTTTTTAAAGTTACCATTATCAGTCTGGAGTGCCTTCAGTGATACACGTTGAACTCCATCCCAACCCTGAAGGTTGGTTTCCTCCTTACCAGCAGGAGGATTTTCAGCTGAGATATGTATGACCTTATGTGAAAAATGTGGTTGGGGGAACCAAGATCGTGAGTGAACCTGTGAAAGCTCTTACAGATAGAATTTTGTTCACTGACATGGTGCTATTATTTTCCATTTTCTTGCTTGATGTGTTTGATGTTCTCTGTCCCCTGAAATGACAATGAGATATTGGTAGTTTTCTTTGTGGCAGATAATGTGCATATTAAGAGACATTTCTCCCTATTGACTCATTCTGCCATCTAAATTTGCTCCTCCATCTCCGTGGCTTTCTGCCTCTCTCTGGTGAGCCCTGCAATGATCTCAGAGATCCCCAATAGCTGGAATGCTTGAGGTGGGAAAAACTTTGGGTTATTTTTCTTTTAACTTTGAAACATAGAAGAGTGTGCACTTCTCAAGCCCACCTCCTTAATAGCCAGGATTCTAGGAGTTTAGCTTCGCCGGTGAAAACGTTATGCACTCAGCCACACGTGCATGTGTTCCCGACTGCTTCTAACACCTGTATGAGCACAGGTCTAGCTTCGGTTTACTTTCCCTCCTTTTCCTTTGTGTCTGCTAAGATTTTCTTCCCTTTTTTTCTAATTTATCTCCAAAAGGAGTGACTCCAAATTTACATATACGGGAACTGAATTACGCACAGTTGCTGAAAAGGTACGAGTGCTAGAATTGTGCATGATGGAAACTTGCAGTTGGGGAGGGATTTCTGTGCTGTTTGATGAACTCAGCCATGGATTAATCTGGTTTGTGTAGGGCCACATTTATGGCTGGGTGGGGGTGTTCTCTCTAGTAAAATCAGTTGAACAATGTACTCACTGGGAATGGGACAAATGTTTCTATTCTTTGTAGCAAATTATTACTCCTTGATCAAGATGAGTAATCAACTGTCAGCTCTCCTCCTTGTTGACATCTGCCTGTTTTCTGGCTGGTTCATGTCATTGTTATCTTTTTATCCCGAATTCCAATATCTACTCGGGTAGCCCCTTTCTTACAGGCAAATTATCCATAGCTCATAGTTCTTAGTCTACTACGATTTTCTCTTCTGGTATGCTCTAGCCTTTATGGTCTGGTATAATGCTTCTCAATCTAATCTCTGTGTAGGAACAGTTAATCACTCACCCCCCAATATGGTACGGACCAATGCTTTTGTAAAAGACAATAAAAATAACTTTATTTTTCTCCTCCTGTCTTCTCCTCCTGCCAAGCAGATGATGGAGATGATAAAAGCTATAGGGCAACAACTCCATGTACTTATTACCCCTACATACAAACTTCATGTTCACCACTTTGCCTGCTCTCTTCCCCTATCAAGGATAGAAACCCACTTCCTATCGAGAGCTGCAGCTTCTTTACCGACCTTGCTTATCGAATATCCTGTCTCTCTTCTGAGTCATCAACTTTTTCCTGTCATCTGGCTCTTTTTCCCTTGGCACAGAAATGTACTTAAATTACTCTCATTTTCAGAAAGGAAAGAAAAGTAACTGCTCAATCCTGTATCTTCCTGCGGTCACTACTCATATCTTTCCTTTAATAGCCAGACCTCTTAAAAGAATAGACTACAACTGGAACTGCTTTACCTTCTCCATTTAAACCCACCAAGATCTTGTTTCCAATTTGATGTCTCCAGCCGCCTCTTTATTACTACACCAGTGGATTATTTCTTGGTGCTGATGTTAATCTTTCTCTTTGGAACTCAGAACACTCATGGTTTTTTTTGTTTGATTTATTTTTGCTGTGTCTTCCCAGGCAGCATTACCTCCCCTATGGCTTTAGCTGCAACAGACATTGAGGTTAGGGAGATCTGCCTTCAAATCCTTACTCTGATACTGTGTGACTTTGAGCATGCTACTTCACATATGCGAGCTTCACTTTATCAGGGATAGACAGCCACCAACCTCATAGAGTTGTTGGGAGAGGTGGATTTGGGTAATGTATGTAAAACACTCATCTGTGAAATGGGAATAACCTCACTGGGTCATTGGGAGAGTTAATTTGACACACGTGAAAAGCACTTTTGAAAGTGCCTGACACATCCCAAGTAGCCAATAAATGTCGGCCATTCTGACTGTTGTTAATATTCAATAGATGCTAGTTAGTATAAATCATCCAAAGCTCTAGAATTTCATGCTCAACTGCCTGCTGGATATCCAAGTTTAGCTAGACACAGGCATCTTAAACTAACATGTTCAAAACCAAGCCTTTCTTTTTCCTCAAATCCACTCCTGTACCACCCCTCCTGCCACAGTAGTTCCCAAGCCTGGCTGCACCTTGGAATCACCCAGTAATCTTTACAAAGTCCCGATGTTGACTCAGTTGGTATGGGGTGAGACTTGGGTGGCAGAATTTTGAAAAGCTCTCCGGGTGGTTCGAATGTGCAGGCAAGTTTGGGAACCACTCCTGCCATTCAGAACCGTTAACCTAGATTGCTTTCCTATTTGCTCCCAATGCTTCATCCAACTCCTGCTACCTTATTTGAGGTCCTTGTCACCTTTCCTCGAATCCTGTGCTAGCCTCTGCACTGGTGTCCTCGCCTCAAGTCTCTCTTGCCTCTAGTCCTTTTTTCTGGTAGCGTAGGATGTGATCTTTTGACAACGTAAGTCTGATATACCTGTGCTTAAAAAGCGTTCAGGGCCCTTGGGCCGGC